AAGCAATCAAACTGTTGAATAAGATAGCCAGGGAATTGATCAGGAGCCATGGGCCAGGGTTCAGAATTCGTTCAGGATGTGGAGGGGAAGACATACACARCTCAGAGTATGGGGAGACCCAAAATTTCRTAGCGTAGAATGGTWMTTATCAGTACGATTAGARTCGTATATYTGGGTARTGGTTTCATTAGGTACATCCATTTAGAGGTAAGATACGAGGTTTCCGGAGTGCGAAATTGATAATCAACGGAGGAACCAACCAATTCGTAATCATATAAAAGTAATCATTACGTGTCCAGGGCTGTTAGATAGGATCATCAAGCAGGGGTTTGATCGAGGGTGAGATACAGTGCATAGGGAAGAGAAGTAGCTGAGAGAGCATACATATGGAAAACCAAGTCGGGGCACATTTCATCATTAATTAGAGCGGGGGGAAGGGAGAATGGATGGTGTTTTCGGGATAATTGAGAACTAAATAGAGCAATGCAACAGAATAAGGGTAATCGGTGAAAGAAAAACGGAAAAAAAAAAAACGAAAAAAAAAAAAAAAAAAAACACACACACACACGCACACACACACACAGAAGCAAAAAAGGTGTATTCAATCCGATCCCGAAAGTACTCATTCATCAATAACTTGCCAAAATAGTCGTAGGAATAGCCCCCATCTCAAGGCTAATTAGATGAATAGATCCTAGTCTGCGATCGTTGAGACTTGGCTTGGCAGAACATCTGGGAGCAATACACATGGAGGCCTGGTCAAACTTCATGGATAAAACATCGCCGCAGGAGGGGTGTGGCTCCCCTAAAAGCTTTTTCGCCGTTGCCACTCAACTGGCTCATCAGAGGGGTTAAAAAACCTGCAAAACAGCCACATCCATTCACAGTCCAACACAGGCAGCCATATCCCATAACACACACGCACAGAGAGGAGATTGAGGACCATGTGTCGCTTCTTCCACCGCAATTTCCTCCTCAGTTTCCGGCGTGATTGGCAAGTCCTCCTCCGCTCCTGTCGTGAATTCCCAGTCCGCCATAGCCGAAGAATCCGATCGCTTCCAAGGTTCCGATCCACCGTAGTTGCCCTTAGGTAGGTATCGCAGGATGCCCTTGACTCACTCAGTTCTCATACTTAGGTGGTCAGTCCATCCAGCGCTTGTTGCTTACAAAAAATAGAGCTACTATATATGTCTATGGAAGTATAGGAATAGTTTAGTAGAAATGATAGGAAGGGACAGGGCCGTCGAGAGAAGGAGAGCAATTGCTTGCTGGAGGTCCCAAGCATTCCCCTGTACCGATAGTACCCGTAGGGTTGGTGTGTATCGACTGAGCATCGTCAACATCTAATGGAATCCAGTGCCACCCCCGTCCGGGTGTATCCTGGGGATTTGCCGATTATCTCCCGAAATTTTGGGAAGTAGCTTCCTGCCAAATGTGCTAGTGTCATGTAGTGTAGGGTGGCGCCCACTATCCCAGTGGAAGGCTGCATTCGTGCCCACTTCCCCAGTGGAAAACGAAAAAATTGAAAAAAATTAACTAAAAAAACGAAGAGGCGAAATGGTGAAAAAGCGAGAAAGTATCTAAGGGAAGCTTGAAAGTATAGCTACTTGCTAGCTCATTGGGAGATATCGAAGGCGGCCCTGCGGTTACCTGCCTGTCTAGTCCATAAGTCCCCGGCTTGAGGTCCATCATTTCAGTGGGAGGTAGATTCAAAAAACGATAGTCAAATGCTTCGTCCTATTGGGGGATACCGACGGGTGGGTCTGTGGGAACTTGTCCTCATAATCCATAGGTTCCCGGTTCGAGATCTAGTTCCCCCTTCATTTTGAAAGAGCGTTTTAATCCTTTTCCCCGAAACGGTTCCTGGGACCTGTGTACTCTGGGATCTCCCTTCAGTGTTCTTTATGCAGGTCCGCTTACCTGGGTCTGTGCTGAGTCCTCTGTTCGTCGCTCTTTCCTCTCGGGGGGTACCCCCTCCAAGACCTGTGTATATGTGTGTGTGTGTGCGCAGGGGAAAGCTGCGCGGCACGGGGAAAAATGCACGGAGCTGCTGCGAGGGTGTGTGCGCCGGGCAGCGTGCGGGAGCTGCGCGCGCGCGCGCGCGAGAGAG